TCAGAAATATAATTGCTTCGAAACCAAATTATTGTTGTCTGGTAAGTTCTATATTGGAAGGATATTCCTTTTTTTGAATGATTCTATATATCTCATCATCTAAATGCTCATAGGATAACGGACAACCTGTTTTATTAATTGAAGAAACTTCCTGCTAATGAAATGTATTCAACAGTATCAATATTATATTGTTGAATAAATGTTGAAAATTTGAATTATATTCGGCGACAAAAATCTATGAATGGCAACGTTGCGTACACAGAAATGTTTGTGGGCGAAAAAAAAAAGGACGGCAGATTAAATTTGCCGTAAGATATGCTGAGAGATATGAATATTGGCCCATCAGCTGACCGCGTTTAGGTTAACATTCATGAGCGTAACATTCGTTGAATAATAGGTAGAGCAAATATTAATTTTTTTCTTTGATCTAATTTTATAATTCAGTTACGAAGATTTAGGTATATTTCAACACTGATGACAGTTTTGGAATTACTGTTATAAAAACTCTAAAACTGAAAACACCCCTTTCAATAATATAGTTGATAATGATATTTTTATATAATACCTACCCTAGATAAACTGAAAGATAAATAATACACTTTGTGTAGATTTAATCCATTCCTAAGAAGTCATAATATGGTCGACGTCACAATATTAGGTACCTTCATTTCTAGGAAAAAACCCGTGGGTTGTGCTACCTATCGGACGCGTACCCAGGTAGCGGATAGGGGAACGGCCAGGGGACTGAAGGCCCTGTCCGGGAAGCCAATGTGGCCTTATGGACGGGGTTGCCGGGCTCCTGGTCAGTGGCAGAAATAAGTAGGGTACCTTTGCAAAACATGTCACCATGGAAGTTAAGGTGTAAGGAATCGTGCCGACAGCTGAATGGCCCAGGGTGATATGCGGTTAGGAACGATTCCCTTGGGGAACTGGGTGAAACCTCATTGTAATCAGCCTACCTCTGGTAATGCGGGGCTCTACCAGTGGTTACCAACTCTTCCTTTGCTACTCGTGGGAACACACGTGAATGAAATAAACACAAAAATAGAAACAACAAAAACGAAAACCAATCCTGATGCTGGACAGAAGTGCTCTCCTTAATCTAAGGCGGTGACTGGGGATGAACATAAATGTCCTCCCCAGTCTGTCGCTTGGAATGATGCTGGACATAGCAGATCACCTTGATGTAATACAAAGGCCAAGGCGTAAGCGCATTTGCGGCGCCGAGGCCAAAAAGAGAAATAGAGCGAAGGAGGCAGAAGTGGCAGCAACTATAAGTTCAAGTTCCTCCTCCCCCACTCCACCTCCAACAGCAAGGGCACTCCCTGCGGCGGGCGCCAAAAGCACTGCCTTGAATAAAAGCAGGGAACGGCTGCTCCTGCAGGAAAGCTCCCTCACTTGTGCACCTCCACGAAGGGAACTTCAAGAAGAATGAAAAAGCCGCGCGACGACAGTAATGTCACTGCACCTTCCAAAACCTTCGCGGAAGCCACCGTGAGACACCTCAAGGTTGCCAAAGAGAGTGTGTGTTCGGCGAGTCTTGGCCTACACCTGCCAATATGAAGAAGATGTCTCCTAGTGACCTGTTCACCTTCCTGGAAAAAACAGGATGAACGCTGACCTAGTAGGACAACTCCTCGGGAGGATGTACAATGGGTCACATGTGGCCTAAGTACTGTGGGTCTACACTCATCCTCCCTACTCTACAGATACAGATAGAGATTCTAGAAAAAAATTACCAGTAAATAAAAAAGAAATTTCAACAGGTGAAAGTAAGAAACGTATCAGTGTAAATCAGTTCAGTTTTGTGCTACATGAACTGTCAGCAATATGAAAAGTCAAAGTAAACGCTGACGTCCGAATTTATCTGAAGGAGAAAAAACTATTATATAAAATGTGTATTGTGGGTTCCGTGAACGGAATGAAAATATGTTGCATAACGATGTAGTTTATCTGTGTAGTTATTCAACTGAAGTGTCGACAAGAAGCATTTACAGAATTATTGAAACATTCAAAGAAAATTAAGGTAACTGTGATAATGTATCTGAAAACATTTAGGTTGAAAAAAAAACAAGAAATTCAGCTTGATGATTGCACCAAATATGCTATTTGTAGAAAATTCAATTTGTTATTTTTCGGAAATGATATCCTCACCTCAAAAAAGACGCAGTCCAAAAAAGTTCCGAAGAATCGATGCCCAAAATACCACGACATGTTTTATTGCGCACATTGAAGCAAATGAACATTAAGTTTATGAATAGAGGTAGAAATAGTTTTCTTATAGAAAGAAAAGGAATGGTTTTGTGGCGGAGAAATCACTTGAAAAAAACCGAGAGGATCGTCTTGAAGGAAGGAAAAAACTTATCTTGCTATACTTACTCAGTACTTATTCAGTATCTATTTTGCATTTTATCGCTATTTTTTCAGAAATGGAGAAATATATTAGAGTTTCACAGAGAAGATCATTTTCTGCAGGAGCTTTGATACATCTTTGGATGCAATTTTGAACGATGTTCCTTAAATCAAGTGACGGAAGCATTCAGAATACATGAAGCAATTTCGAGACGGAAAGTCAAACTTGAAAATTCAACAAAGAGAATCAAATCTTTGTCGCTTTGGTAGAGCACTATTGTTTCCGCCACCGCGAAAAAAGGAGAAGTGTATTATGATTGTGTTCATTTTCTAGTGTCACTTCAATAGAACTGAAAATATTATTATTTATGTTGGAGATATTGAAATCGAACACAATTATAACAAAATTCCTAAAAAAACTAGTGAAAGACTTGGACTTGAAGGAATGCAGTATCACCTCTTCATGGAACGAGTTTCAGCTTCAGAAAAATGTACCAAGCGGTGCAATTTACACCTGCACAGATGATTAATGGAGAATCGAATCTGTATATTAGTGTAAGATAATGATCCACAAATTGCAACCCCTTGATGTATCATTTTCTTCTACTTTGAAAAATTCGTATTGTCGCCATTGCAATTCCTTTTTGAAATCGAAGATCAGAAACTGAGAGTTTGTAAAAAAAATTACGCCATATGAGGTGACCAAGATTTTAAAGTGAGCAAATGTTAAGGTGGCAAATATTTCAAAAGCAATTTCTGGTCTTGAAGCGTGTAGTATTTTCCCATTCAACTGGGAATTTGACCAATGCTAGCTTGGAAGGAGACGTTTTTCCTGAACCAGCACCCCAGCAAGCACTTCCGCTGATGAAAACTTCACCTATAGAAGAATCAAAATCACCAACGGTCTCCTCAATGTCACAGAACTCTCACAAAACATAATGTGATAAACGAAAGTCTATATATCTATCTTGCATTCATTTCTACGTTTTTTATATCCAATAGAGAAAGAAAAGAAAATTATGGTCGCGAGAAGCAATATTCAGAAATATTAACAAACACTACTCTCAAAGCATTCTTCGAAAAGAAATAATAATAAAGAAAACAACAGAAAGTCGGAAAAGGTATACAGGAATGGAGATGAAGATGCAGCTGCAAAGGTGACTGGAGAGAATGGAAAAACCGTATTGAAAAAAGCTATTCAAAACGTTTTTGGAGGATAGCAATACTCAAGGAAGTGAAATTGACGGCGAAGGTCTTTGCAATGACAATGAGTTGAATGCTTAAGCAATGAGGGACAAAAATACCAAAACGTGAATACAACGTTTTGACTGTTTGTATTAACCTCTTTGAATGATGACTCATATAATTTAGAGATACAGTGTTCATATACATGTCAGAGAAAATTGCAGTCTTGTTAATTGGAGACCAATTCGTTGCTGTTTTGTACAGCTTCTTGAACTTTATCTTTCTTATGGACACCACTTTATGTAATGTGGAGACAGGCTTACTCTAAAACTGAGTAACTCAAGTGTTTCTTATTATTGTATAGCTTTTTGTATCCTCAGATTCTGACGCACAATCAATTTTTGGGTTTCCTGATGTAGAACTCGTAGCATTCATATAGTATTTATAAACCATAGTTCCTTGTATGACTGTGTGCATTAATTGGCCTAATATTCATGCAATTTTATGACTATTCGGAATACAATGCGGATGCGCAAGCTTCATGAGAAAAATAACATTCAACAAGGAGATACAAGCAAGTGATGAAGAATGAGTCGGAAGTAATATCCGCTCATCGAAGTCAAAATGTTAGCTTCAATCAGCCTTTTGGAGTCGGGAGTATTTTGATATTAAAATGACAATGAAAAAACTAATCACGACCTTTTGTAAAAAACTTTTGTTCAGGATTAGATGCTGAGAACTGGGAGTATGAAAAAATACGAATTAGTTTGAGTGAAATGTAGAAAGAGCAACTACTCGAAAACTTGCTCCACTAATAAAATCGGATTCTTCTAAGCTATCTAGAGAATACGTTAGACAGTGAATTATTACATTTATAATTTGACTACAAAAAATTTATAGCAGAATTTAGTTTTGAATAAGTAGAATTTTCAAATTCACTTGTTTCAAGTTATGAAAATACAGTTGAGATTATCAAAAATAGTTAATTTTAATGCATTTGATCCACGCTTTCTTCCAAGAACACGATGTAAGAAATATAATAATATATTAAATAAAAATTACATATTTCAATGTGGTATAACAACAGGTTTGAACCATGACTTGGAAATATGAAATGATTATAGTCAGTGAGTTGAAATTATGAAAATTTTCAATGACAAACAACTAGTGTTCTATGTCAATTCACAATTTCATTATCAGGATACTGAAACATATGAATCATTCCGATCAATATAACTAGTTTGGGACAACCTGGTACTAACAAGAGTAAATATTGGCAGTGAATTACGAATGAACCCTCAAAACTGAACTGCGTGCGAAAATCCCAAATTCTATTCAATACCTACCCCGAAATTAAGCGTTGAATTTAGAACAAAGTACACCGATGTTCCTCAGAACAATGCAAAGCCCGCATTATCCAACAAAACCAAGCTCATTATAGTGTTAAGACAATTATTACTTACAGTGCACGGCTAACTACGATGTTTTCTAATGAACTGCGTAACTGGCGTGGTTGAAGTAGACTGGAAAACAGATGAAAGGCAAGCGCCACCTAGATTCAAGTGATTTCCAGGATCATATCGATTTTCCGAGTCCATTCATTTCGGCATGTAGACTCAACGACTACTACTACTGCATGAACGGACAGTGCGAGGGGTTGTGGGGTGAAAAATACAGCTCGCGGTGAGTTTTCAATTTAATAATATCGAATACTTCATGGTATTCTACACACCATTCAAAAAAGGACTGGATGCGTTTTCAATTAGGTGTTACAGCAAATAATTGATTACGGCGGAGGCCGGCAAACCAGTAAAATAAATCAACTGGTAGGCTTTATAACACTAGTGGCTAGTATTTTGAAAATGAAATGTTGTTCATTTGTTCTTCAGAATTTTTATGAAGAAGGTGTCAAAAATATTTTGCAATAGTTTTTCAAGTTCATATGTGATCTGTATCGAGCCAACTAATAGGACGTTCAGGATTTATTTTTTATTATTTCAAACCCTCTACTCCTTTATGTTTTTTATTTGAACTCGTATTCAATTTTTTATTACGAAGAATTTTCAAAGACGTACTTGATTCGAAAACAAATTTAGTTTTTCCAAGTTATCATAGGTTCCTTAGTTGAAAACTGATTAGGAGTTTCAAAAAATATATTAAGCACTTCTCATCGACAGAATTCATTCGAAAACGTTCTTTCAAATCGTCATATACGGAATATTTTCTGAATTTAAAATTATATACAAGATGTATCACTTTGACTATAACCGCGTCCGTATTTGTTAAGTTTCAATTCGTATTCAGAAACTTAATTTTTTCATAGTGTAGATTTTTCGAACATGCGTTTGTTATGAAATGGGATGACGAAATGAACACGAGCATTTTTTCGGGATGTTGCCAACACCTCATCCGAATACTTTCTAAATTAGTTCTGATAAACAGGATAAACCTCTTACTTTTTTGTTGTTTTGTTGTACTTTCATATAAAGCTCACAGAGCAAAGCAAATAAAACAAATTCATCTGGTTTTCAATGAATCAACAAAATGAACACGATTTTGAAAAAAATATGGATTTTTTCAATTCAATTCACAACTTCTCAAATATCCATATCTACCTCGTCAACTCTGACCACCGTTTTGAAGGATACAACACTGGAGCGATTTTCTTAGACGAATCCAAGGCGTTCGATAGAGTTTGGCATGACGGACTTCTGGCCAAAATGAGCAATTTTGGCTACACGAAACAATGGTAGGATTGATCGAGTCTTTTCTAGCTGACAGGCGATACCGCTGCAGAACTTTCAACCATGCGATTACTGAAAGCAGGGGACCCACAAGGGGCCCCTTTCGCCACACCTCTTCTCGGTATACACAGCAGACGTGCCCAAAAGTTAGCGCTCTATGCGGACGACAAAGCTCTGCTGGTGAGATTTAAAAGCCAAGCGCACGGCACTAGATACTTGCAGCAACAGGCAGATAGTTTAGAGGAATGGGCCAACCTGTGGAAGATCAGTATAAACCCTGTTCACATGGAAGCGGGCACACTCGGAAGGAAACATCACCTTCAACGGACAAGAGATATCGTGGACCAACGAAGCTAGATATCTGGGAGTCACCCTAGACAAAACATTAACGTTTAGGTCTCACGTACGGCAGAGAATAGAAAAGCCGAGATCTGCCCGACAAAACCTATTACCAATAAAAGGTCGAAGAAGCAACATGGGACTGAAAGTGAAGCTGCTGATGATAAAGACCGTACTACTACCAATAATCCAGTATGCCTGCACTGCCTGGGGCAAGTGCGCAGCGACATAC